TTTGAACGCAGATCGGTACATTTCTGAAATCTTACGTCCAGTGGGTTGTGCCCTATCTTCGACGCCTGCCAAACGCCACCTTCCAACAAGATAATGCAAGTCCACATGTTGCAAGTCGTGTTCTGACTTTCCTCGAAACACAGGGTATTCGATTGCTGCCTAAGCCTGAACGGTCTCCAGATTTATAACCCATTGAAAACGTCTGGTCATGGGTTGCTGAGAGAGTGGCCCGCCATCTCTCTCTCCAGCTAATACGGTTAATGAAGTGTGGCGTGAACTTGAAGCAGCATGGAATGAGTTGGCCGTTCTGTCATCGAAGAGTCAGTTCAACTTCATGCCTAACCGGGTAAGGGCCGTTTTCGCTACCTATGTAGCTAGGGTTCCCACCTCTCCCCGAATTCAGTCTTGAAAATTAAGATCTCCCGGAAGGAATTTAAAATAAATATTACTCTCCCGGAATACCGAGTTTTTCGAAAATAACAACAAAATGTGCACGTACGAAATGGTTGAGAGTATCGAAAATCACACGACTGCGCTTGGCACCCAAGAACGTCTATGTCAATACAAATACTTTACGGCAGCGATCTACGGTGAGCGGAGAGTAAGCGCCTTGAGTCGTGGTTTCATGCCGGCGTGTCGCCCTCATCCTCTCATTTTCAATCCATTCTTTCATTTAGTCTGCAGTTAGCTAGCTATCTACAAACAAGTGCGTATTTTGAAATTATTTAAATGCTTTCATAATCATGTCTAGTGAAAAAAAAACGAGATTCTGATTCTGCAAGTAAACAAGTACCAGCAAAAAAAAAAAAAAAAGACAAAATATTTGACGTTGTTTCAAGACAAGTGGTTAACTGAATTTGTTAGCTTAAGAAGAGAGACAGCTTTAACGGAGAATGTAAAGTATGTCGGAAAACGGTTAATATTAAGTACGAGGATGTTAGAGCTTTAACTGTACATTCTCAAAGCAAGAAACACCAGTCGTTAATATTGAATAGGGATTCTTCGCAATCGGTTTAAAACTTTCTCATGAAGAAATCTTCAGAAGAACAAGACAATATATCAGCAATTGAAATCACGTCAGTCAGCACCATCACAATTTTAATAGCTAGGATTGCACAAATTGTACAGCACTCTATTTCCAGATTCAGCTTTTACAAAAACGATTTCTTGTGGTAGAACAAAATGCACAAGTATTTGCGAGAGTCTGCTTGCTCCTGCAGCTCAAAAAATACTTTTAAACGAGGTTAAGGAAGTGGAGATTTTTTTCAGTTCTGACTGAAAAGAAACTTTTCTTTCTTCTCCCAGATTTTGACAGCTAAGAGGTGGCAACGCTAGTGGTAGCTGTTTTTACTGATTTCGCACACTTGTAAACCACAAAGCTGCTTACAAATTTAATCATTTTGTCTTCATGCTATACTGTTTACGTGCAATAAATATCTTTTTTGTATTTGCTTTTCTTCATGGTGTTGCAATTTTAATGGCCAGCAGTGTAATTATAAATTTCTATGTTTCTTACTGCAACTTGACACTTGATGGTGTTTTGATTCTGATAAAGTGTCAGCCTTGAAGAGAAATTACTGCAAATTATCTTCATCACAAATCGTCGATTCTCATCGGTTAATCAGGTTCTTTTCTTATGAATTTCCAATTGAGAAAGAAAGCTGTTCACATACAAATGCATTCCTCCCCCCACAAAAAAGAGATTATTCTCATTGCAACAATTCGCCACTAATTTATTTTTTGACAAATACGAAGAAAATATAATAAAATTTGTATCTTCAAATCTTTAAATAAGATTTACATACACTGCAAATTAATTAGCTTCATTTACAGATTTCCTGGTGCGTATTTATATTTGTTTTTAATCATAATGGAAATAATATAAACTCGGACTTCTATAATTAAAATCTTTAACTGAAATATATTCGCAGGCCGCCAGCGTGAGATCATTGTTCTAAACCCGAATTTTGAATTTCCAACCTATTTTTTATTTATTTCATAATCCGTACAAAACTTTTGGTTAACACACTAAGCGATTTAAAACCAATGAACGCAGATTCATTTCAATCATTATTAATTATTAGCTGTACATGTGAAATTTTATTAGCTGGATTCATTAAAATTCTCATATGTACGTTCCTTCTTTGTAATAATTATTTTAGGTGGCTAGCCGAAATTTGAGAGCATTATTCTATTATAACCTTTTAGATATTGGTAATTAATAATTTTCAGCCTAAAAGATCGATTAGTCTCGAAACACAATTTTGCGTTGAGCATTTTAAATATCATCCAGTGTCACATTGCTTCATTTTTCATTCGAGTTTGTTGCCATTCAGCAAAATGTAAGATTTAATGAATGAAACCTTTCAAATTTAATTTCTCTGTTGTGCGATTGTTACTTGTGCTCAATTGTCTGACAGTAGCATCAGTCCAAGCCCCAGGTGACAGTGCGATTTCTCTCAGTTCGGTCCCTAATTCTGGTGGCGAGCACCTCGGGGGGATTGGTCCGAGGATCTCCCACCCTTCTCGCCTTCCACCAAACCACACGAGAGGACTTTCAGCTCGCCGCATATTTAGAGTGCCGCACCGACACTATACATATACAAACATCCATGCCTACGCAGGGCTCTTCGGCACGGCAGTCAGCGACGCTAAACACTATACTGGTTGGGCGGCTTAATTTCTCTGTTATTGATTAAAAAATAACAGCTATTTAAAAGCATCACATAAATTGTGCAAAAGCACCTACAGCAAATTTGAGAAGGTCTATGGACAAAGCATTAGGGTAAGAAGATAATTCTCTACTGACAAGTATTCTCCTATCTTTAAATTAAAGGAGGAAGCTCAAGAAGTACCGTTTTTTTCATCGAATTGGCATTGAAGTTGAGAAATGAACTCGGCATTAAGAGCAAAACTAATTGTTTTCACCAGGTCAGACAACAATTTCAACATTAATCAGAACTACAATAATTTTGTAGCGTAGGACCGATGCTAAGCTTTTTATCGCACGGTGCGATATCCGTAGCTCCTAAATTCTCAAAATTTCTCCACCCTTAAATGCTGCTACACCAGTTGCAGTGCCTGTGGCATCGACTTCGCCTTCATTTTCCTATTTCCATTTCGTGTTCATTGGAATGTCGCAAGCATAGTTCACTTAGAAGTAATGAAACCTGATCAGATTTACACTACTATTTTCTTTTATCAAAAACTTCTATGATCTGAATCACGCTCTTTCTGCTGAGCATCCGGCGTTACACAACCAAAGTGTTACCCTGTCCCACACAACAATGCAAGACAACAAACGCAAGACCCAGCTAAAGACTGCAGAATTAATTGGGATGTTTTGCCCCGTTCGGGTATAAGACACTGTTCAGACAGATTCTGATCTCTATGACACCTTTTATGGGAGGCATCATTCCGAAATATTAACTAAGTCAAAATAAACGTTTTTTTTAACCGTGTTTTTTTTATAAAGAAAGTATTAAGTCTAGAATTGTGTATCATTATCGATAATGATAGATATTTTGTAATTAAGCCATTAAATATTTTCTGATACTACCGTTTTATGTTTGTCATTCTAAAACGACGTTACTTTCTGGACAGCTTAACGTTCATTGACTTCAAATGAAATAGAATTGCTTTACATTTAGCAAAGAAAATCGTGTCCTTGCAAAAAAGAAACTCAAAAATTTGGGAAAAAAGCAAGCTTAGTTTGACATACATTCCGGTCGCCTCGAAATCGATAGTTTTATTCAAAATTTGCTCCAAACTATAATTGCCATTTCGCTTAATTTAAAATTTTATATGAGCGTGTTTCTCTTACAATTTGAGAAAAGAAATTGTAGACAGTCTACGCTGAATGACATCTTCCAAATTATAAAAGTATATTGGTTTTATATTATTCCAGATTAGCAACAAGAATATCCAACTACATTCTGTTTCCTATTTTTGCTTTAACAAAAAGGACAACACGGAAAGCTCTTTCGATCATGGCAATATTAACGCAAATTATTACATAAGCAAAAGGTTTATTCCAGATTCAGTTTATGCAATTATAAATAACAACATGCAATAATAATAATTATAAATAATAATGCATGCAAATATTTTGGCTATTATAAATCTACCAATGGCCAAGTGGTTAAAACGGCTGAAAATAAGCAGTTCAACCTGTGTTCGATCCTAAACGAATGCGCTAAGAACATCGTTGGAATTCTCTGTGTTAACTCAAATACGAGCCAGTTTCCTTCAGAATATCCTGCATGAAGGCATCCCTTCATCCATCCTTAGTCACATACTGACATCCTCAGTCACATACTAACACCCTTAGTCATTTACTAACTCATGAGTGCTTTGCCATATATAACTGAACCTAATCTTTGGATCCTTAGTCACATACATAGATACATTTTGTTTTGTAAATACTAAAATAAACAATTGTGGAACTCAAATTATATATTTTACCCATATAATTTCATCATTTATCTGCAGATTCCCACTGCGCCTTCATTTTCCTATTCCCACTTTTCTTTAGTACACTCAAAGTCTTTAAACACTAGAAATAATTTCAACAAGGTCATCAATCAAATTGGAAGTTTTGGCGACTTTGTTGAAATCCTTTCCTAAACTTAGTTTTCCTGTTTTGCAGTGTTAGGAATCAGTCTTTTCTAGACAATAATTTTATCTTCATTTCATAACTCATCAGATTTTATGTATTTTGTTAAGAAATAATCACAAGTTTTCTAATTATTGAATTGCCTTTTGAGAACGATGCACAAATATTTAGCGAAATACATAATCGAGAGCTCATTGGATTTTTGAATATGTACAGAGAAGACATTATTCTTAAAAATAATATCAAAAGACTTTCTGTGATTATCTTCCGATTACTTATGATATTAAAGCTATATCGAGTACTTCTCTTTATACTTTTTAACAAATTATGAATTGAGTTGCGAACCTTTCTGTCTTCCTATTCAGATTTTTCTGCTTTATTTTAGGTGCTCATGAGAAGAGGTGAGTACGGTGATAAAATGACAAGCTTCAATAAAAACTGGATCAGCTATAAAAATGGTTTCGGGGATACGGAAGGTGAATTCTGGCTCGGAAACAATGTCATACATCTTATGACAACGGAAGATGAAAATATGCTTAGGGTTCATTTATCTGCCTTTGATGACGATGAAATCAACCTGGATTACGGTTTTTTCACTATTGGAAATGAAAGCTCTAATTATCGTCTGCATATTGGCTCTCCGATAGGAACACCAAGCACAGCAGCGAACAGTTTGCTTTATCATAACCAGCATCCGTTCAGTACCTTCGATCGCAAAAATGACAAATTTGAACAGAACTGTGCAGCAATGTACAAAGGAGGCTGGTGGTTCAATGGATGTTATTTCGGTTTCCTAACTGGCGAATATTTCAAAGCTGAAGACAAGAGGGAAGGCTGGCAAGGAATTTTGTGGTACGACTGGAAAGGCAACGCTGCATTAAAAGGGGCAGAAATGATGATAAGGCCGAAGAATTTTATTCCGAGAACTTAAAATATTCACCTAACCATCCTATTTGTACACCTTTTCTTCTTCTTCTTCTTCTTTTTTTTTTTTTTTTTTTTTTTTTTTTAAGATAGTGAATTCAAGCTGTGCCAAAACATTTCTTAAGAACTTAAGATAATGTACAGATGCATGTTATGATATAATAATACTTGTGTTCCAACTGATGTCTCATTGCATGATACATGCATGTTATGATATACCAAACTAAGTAATCGTTATTATTTAAGACGTTTTTTTTAAATAGTGATTTTTTATACCATCAAACACACTTCAATACAGCATAATAAATGCTTTCAATTTGTGAACATATCATTATTTGAAAGAAACACAACTTCCTCGCAGAACAAATGATCAACAATAAAATATTTATAAATGAAACATTACACAAATGTATGCAGTATTGCAAATATTCTGCCTACCAAAGAGTTCATGTGTAATTTTCTCAGAAATGTGAAGTAACTGAATTATTCAGATACTCGTTATTCGTATACATAAAGAGTATGTTTTAAATTTGGTTAGAAATTACAATTTTTAGGTAATTAAAAAATAACTACAGCAACTTTGTTAATCTTAAAAACTTATAACATTTATTGTTTGAGTTAACATACTGGACTTAATTTTCTTATAATTTAAAAATGAAATTATTCAACAAAATAAGTTACTAAAACAAGAAATCTCCCACCTTAAATAAATATTCATTATTTTTCCTAATGGTCAACAGAATTCTAATTATATATACTTCAAATAAATAGTTTATTTTATTTAGAACTATCAAACTTATTGTTACTTTACGTACTACATATTTTAACTTTTCCACTGAGTGAAAAATTAAAAGATATTAAATTTTGATCTTAATTAATTGACATTATCTACACACAGATCATGATTTTGCATCATAAGAGAATATCTTAGATTTAGTTGAAGAGTGATAGATTTTTGTTTAAACGGGGGGGGGGGGGGGGAAATTCTTTAATTTAGTACAGAATATAATATGAGTATATATTCAATTTGGATCCTGTGTAAATAAAAATTTCTTTCTTTTAACTAAAATAGAAATATACCGATTTTATGCAAATAAAAAGTAATTTTATTTCTTAATGTTGTAAAAAATGCATTGTTTTAGAAGGTGTTTTGAATATTACTTTTTTTCCTGTTTTATAATCTCTGTTGGGGAAGGGAAAGAGAGACACAAAATATTAAATTTTCTTGCATGCATTATAATAAGCAGTGTACATTTAGCTTTTGGAAATAATTATCTGGCTGAATTGTAATTAATGTTAATCTGCTAGATGATAATCTGCTGAATTAAGAACTAAATTTTTTAAGGTTCTTTAGTAAGATTAATTTTTAAAATACAACAGGTCATATCCTTAATAGTTCGAAATCATGAATACTTGTGTTAAAAATTTAATTTAAAAATGCATCAGATAACAATAATAAATTAAAATTAGCATATAACTTTTGAATCAAAAATATATGAAAAAAAGCAATTAATTAACAAGAAAACATCATACAAAAGAATGTGAAATATTAAATATATTTTTGGTATTTCCTTTTTTATGTAATTATGATTCACTTTTTTTTATCTGAGTATGAGGGTTTTTTTTTTTTTTTAAGTTTTTAATTTAAGTGAATTATATCTAAAATAAAATCATGAAAATTTTGACATCATTGTATAAATCTGTCTGTGTATAGTATGAATTTGTCCATTATTTTAAAACACTGTTATATCTCTAAACTTCATTTACATATTTTTGAACAAACTGGGACTCACCTTATTTTTTTTTAATAAATGTACAAAATATGTGGTATTTTTCGTTGTGTGTAAGGAGATGAGAAATGTGGATATTTTTTCCAACAATGTACAAAAGCATGCTAATGTGTTTTTATACAAGTTTTTCCTGTTAGTTTTGTTTCTTTATTCTAAGTCTATGACCAAATTTCTCCTTGGATATATATCTTCTTGTACCTTTAATACAGTATATAATTGCACATCTTCAAATATTTAAACCATTCTGACATTATACCATTGTATTTGTTTTGCTTATAAATGAATTTTTCCATGTTTTTATTAGGATACAGATTTCTGGGACAGTCTTACTCATATATATTCTAGACTCCTTGGGTAGAAATAATATTTATGAAGCATCAGTTAATTTCACAGATGATGTGTAGTCTTCAGTGACTAATTTTTAAAGAACTTAATACTTTCACCTATCAACAGCTATTACTTGTAATTTTGTAACATTAATAGATTTTTTCCTTCTTTACATAATTAAAGCACATTTGCCTCTTTATATACTGAAAACATGATTATATTAAATAATTTGAGAAAGCAACTGAGTAAATGATTTTGAAACATATGCACTGATATTATCAAACTGACACTGGAAATTTAAAACAATGGTTAACTTTCTGCTCCTAAAACATGTGCCAGTAAAGTGTGCGAGGATCTGATTAGAAGGTACAAAGCCAGTAAAGAGTATGAGGATCTGATTAGAAGGTAGTAATATCATTGGCCACTTGTTATCAGTACTGGCAGTATAATGGTGTATATAATTATTGTATTGGCTTGCATATATTCATAGGAGATTCTGTGATGGCTAAAAGGTAGCAGAAGAAAGTCCTTGATTCCATTAAGAGAATGAATACTGCTTGGCATTATTTTAATGGATAATAATGTAGTCTACACACAGCAAACCTAATGAATGAACACATTACTTGAAAAGAAATGGCCTTCACATTCTCATCCCTGTTGAAAATCTTTGAAATGACTTTGGATATCCTATTTCTCCCTGCATACTTCCCTCCAATCAAATGGAAACTGTGCTATTAAGGGAATGACAAATACTGGAATGTTGCTGTACAGCTTGTATGAAATTCAGAAGCACTCACTCCATTTTTAACCCAAGTTTTGTTTGTCTACATTAATCACAATTTCTTTAATGTAGAAATGATGATGCTCATGTATAAATGATCGTATGTCTGTCTAAATACATATTAATTATTCCCCCCCCATGAATATGTAGCTTAATTGCCTACATTCATGTGATATTTTGAGTTAAGTTGAATTTGCCATTGCATGTTTAAATTTTAGAAAGTCGTACATGACTAGAATACAAAACATACTCCCAAAGCAACAAGTAAGTAAGTCCATACCTTTATAGTAAAAAGTAATAAATAAAATGAATTAACTAAATTAAAAATATATCTTCAAAACAATACAAAAAAACACAATTCCAAATAAAAATTCATATGAGATCTGCGATGCATTACAGTTGGAGACAAGCAGAAACTGTACATAAAACAAAGATGAAATAAACTACATAAAGAAAAATATATAACAATTGATAAAAGCAAAAGATGTATAAAAGCTATATGTATAAAAAAGCTAATATGTAATAAAAACAGAATCAATGAATATCATATGATTAATATCTGGAATTACATGTTTTCAATTGCATAAAAAGATATTATTTTTCATGCATATTTCAGATAAAACACAAGGCACTGAGATTCCCCAGGAAGTTGCATCACATGTGGAATACCTGAAGAAAAGTGCAAAAATAATAAAACAATCAAAATAATAAAGAAAATAAAGATTTTTGTCACATATTTTTTTACAGGTTTATAATTAAAAGAAAATTGCTACCATTATGGTAAAGGTATATGAAAAAACTTTAAAAAATATAAATAAAAAAAAATAAATATAAATAATAATAATAATAATAATAATAAAAACAAGCCTATCTAATGACGCTGATTAGATTTCTCATCTAACAAGCCTGATACACAAAAATATTCTTATTAAAATATCGGAACAATATACATGGTTTAAGTTGTCTCCATTTCTTCCACCTATATAAGATTCTATGCTCTTTGCCACATCTTCTGTTTTCCAGACATCATGTTTCTTTTCTGCCCAGTCTTTCACCTATGAACTATCCCTAAAAACTACTGTTATATTCTCAATTGTGAAGAATTTTAGTTTGTCAAGATATTCAGGCCAGGGCTTGGCACAGAGTCATCTACGTAAGATATCTCTAATATTTGTGATTTTGCTTAGTAAGAGCATTAACAAAAGCATTTTACATGGTTTTCATTTTAATATGCTTCCAAATAAAATCTTACAAAATTATTTTATTACTTATCTGTTACCTAACAATACGTTTCATTCACTAAATTTTATTTCCTAAACCAAATTTTATCTTTATTCTAATCTTACATTAAAATCAAATTGTAATTTTAGTTTTAATTTTAATATAAATTCATAAATGAAGCAATATTATACCATTACATAAGTTGTTTTTTAAATTATACAACAATACTAATTCAGAAGTCAAACAACAAAAATCAGCGTTATACCTACAAAATTTTCACAGGACTAGTTTCGATGGTTTTACCGAACCTTCATCTTCAGCTGCAAAACCGCAAATGAACAAGATAGGAAATAATGATTAGATAAGATAAGAAAGCCTGAACAAGAATAAGCAAGTGGCGCAATCTGTTGGCGAAACCAGAACTAAAACATAATTTCTCTAAAAGCCCGGCTTTTAGAGAAATTATTATTAGGGAAATTTATAGCAGCAAAATAACAGACATAATTTTATATCTCAATAGTTTTTTCATTCTTGTTTCCTGTCAATTTATGGATACCAGTAATGAATATTTAAAAAAATTATTTAAGTATCTGAAACTTTTACAATACCTAAATTAGACATACAATGACAAAATTAAAAGAAGAGGGAAAAAAAAAAAAAAAAAAAAGCTGTGTCAAGAACTTGATGGTAACTTTATGATAAACCAAACATGAATAAAAGGTTAAATGACATATACAAAAAATATTAATCATAAATATATAACTCAGCATATTACATGAAGATTTTAGTATCTATTAAAAATGGAAATTGCATATAATTGGTCCACATAATCACCCTTCGTATTCTACAGAAAAATACTTGTAATAAGTGGGCACTATAGCAAAAATGGATCAAGATGCTCTCATCAGTTACAGACTGGTATTCTAATGGATTAGTCACGATAACACAGAGTCATCATAGTATAATCATGAACTGTCCACATGCATGTAAGTATTAATAATGAGTCCTAAATAACATCTAACTAATAAGGTAATAATTAATAAAACATTCAGAATTTTTAATTTTTGAAACAGATTACTGTATACATATATAATCTCTGCTTTTTTTTGGCCTGCAAGGTGTATAAGATACAGGTGACTTTTTTTTTAAATCTAATCGTTTTACAAATATATATTTTACAGTTTATTTTACTCAAACAGCTTTTATAGATACAGTAAAATATGCAGTTTGTTTTAATATAAATTTAATAATGCAAGCTTAAAAAGGATATCAGTGGATCCTTATTACATCAACACACATGAAGTTAGTTTATAAAAATTAAACAAATCATATTAAGAATAGATAAATTACATCTTTTAATGTTCAATTTTGAGTGAATGAAAAAAAAAAAAAAAAAAAAAAAAAAAAAAAAAAAAGAAAGAAAGAAAGAAAGAAAGAAAGAAGATAAACAGCCTGATTATTTTAATCATGATAAAACCTTACTTTACTTCACATTTTCCTTTTCTGCCTTGTATTAGCATATATGAAGAAAACTATTAAAGCAAACAAAATAATGATGATTGGAAGAGCTATAGTCAAAAATCTTCTTTTGTTCTCAGCAAAGTCCTTCTTTCTCTCTCTTTTCTCTTTCTTTGATTCTTTCACCTTACCTTTAAGCTGACGCATCGTCACGATACTGGAAGAAAAATTTTTAAATTTATTTTAACACAAAAATAACACATAGATAAATACTACAGAGTCAAAAAAATGTCCTACAACATAATTAATATACTAAAAATTACAAGCACTCTTGCATGCACTCCCCAATTATTTCAAAGTACTAGATACCAATAATCACGAAAATGAGCAATAGCTTACATAGTTTGGATTCACAAGTTTAAAGGAGTTATAAGGAAGTTTAAAGGTCATGGATGTGCACAAAAGTTAGATTTAAGGAATATATAGAAGGTTCACAATATACTATTTTTCAAATATAATGGCATGGTCTTCAAAGTAATTATGAAATGATAGCAGGCTGTTTGAGGAACTACACTGTTTGCCATCTGCTACAGTACAGAATCATTTTTCATTATAACTAATCATCCACATCATTTAGAGAAATGAGACCTGCCACATATGTATGTAATAGAAGTCCTGAAATGGCACAGGATATTGCTACATAGCAAAACAAGGTAAGTCCCCTTCCCTAAAAAAGAAACAGTTATTTTGAATCATTACAAAGATGTAGTCAGACTGAAATAAGAGCAGATTTGAATCCATCAATCTGGATTCTGATCTCCTCAGATCATGATTCGTATTTGCTATCTGTTATGTATGCCATCCACTTAACTGTTGAGGACAGCTTAGAGGATGTTTGTCTCTCGGAAAGATTTTGAGTTCCAGTATGATTCCAGGCGGATTCTGTCTTTCTTTCAGTAATATGTCTGCTCAGTATATCTCAGACATACTCTGAGAAATAGGTCCAAGGAATATTCAAGCCATGTCATGCACTCAATATCTTCCCCTGCTACTGTGTATGACATTTTAGCTGTTATATATGAGAAGGCCTTATCATTCATTAACATAAAATATGAATTAATTGCCCTATAAAAAAAACCCATGATACAGGAGAATTTCAGTACAATACTGCAAAGATGTCACTACATACTTCCATTAAAGATGTGAGAAATTCTGGCATTGCTCATGATAACCATCCACACAATTACTTCTCAGCCATAAAAATCAGTTTCCTGTACATTCATGTGATCGTAATGAATTCTGCTCTCTCTCTGCACTAATTAGTGTCCAGAATCACTGTTGATGTTGAAGCAGGCTTTACTAGAGATCCTGAACCTAAATCACTGTTGCTGAAACTAACAAATAAACTTCTTACACTAACAATCTTCCTAGCAATTATGTGCTCATAATATATTGCATACAGCAGGCTTTTGCATATATAAACCAATTACTAGCATGCCATCAATAGATTAGAGGGACTAGATTAGTCTCCTAACATTTTATACATTAACACTTTCAAGTATATTTTTATCTAACATTCAGAAGCATTAAAAGAAACATAATACATTCTGTCCCAGAAAGGACTAGTTCACTTTCACCTGTTCTCATAGCTTTCATAAACACTGGTAGTTGTGATCTGGGATCGAATCCAGGTGAACGGGCTGGCTGCATGGACGTTTTCATGGTTTTCCCATATGTAACAAGCCAGTTTCCCTATGAAAGTCCTCCACAAAGGCATTCATCCCCTTAGGCAGATAATCATACTGTGCTTTGCCATAATAAACTAAACCAAACCAACTCATAGCTTTCATAGGTATACTGTTAATTATTGGTGATACATTACACAAGAAATTTTTCTCATAATTCTTATGAGCAAAATTAATTTAGCTGTTAGTGGTATATTTTGATTTGTCTTCCTTAAACTGTTATTATAGTATGTGAAACAATGTAAAATAAAATATACTGATGCAGCAGTTTCATGTTTAAATTAAGAAGAAGGAAGAGATATGAAAATCTAGTTCTCATGGACATGGTTAAGATAATCAGGTACTGTTCTGTTATCAGGACTGTATTCGGAAATGATGTATGTATGTATAAATGTGTTCGCACATACACATATATGCACATACATACAGGGTGATTATAATTAAAGTTGCGAATTCAAAATGCTCTAACTTTAAAACTAACGGTCAGAATGACTCGATAGTTTACCAGAACAATCATGAGGCAATGGAATTTGTTTTGCGAGGGAAAGAAATATTTCCAAAATGTGCCAATAGATGGCGCTATCAGGGGTAAGGTCTAATCGTTAAACACAATAATGTTGTTAGCCAAACGGAAATAGACTCCAAGGGCTTATGACAGGCGAAAAGACATGTTCACAGCGAACAGTTTAAATAATATGTCTGTAGAGCGAAAACAATAATAGTAACAAGAAGAAAACAGGAGTTTCATAAAACAAATACCTTACGGATGATTAATGCATAAGTTCGATATGGCCTCCGCCTTGTTCCGCTACTAGTTGGAAGTGCAAAATGGCATGTTCCCCAACAGTTTGGAGGGTATCTGTGCTGATGTTATGAATGTGGTGCGTGATGCTTGCCTTCAAGGTCAACCAGATTCCCAATCAACCCATTGCAAACAACATTCTTTAGGTATCACCAAAGCCAAAAATCACACAGGTTTAGTCTGGCAAATGTGGCAGCCACCCTGTTGGAAAATGGCAGCTTATGATTTTATGAGGAATCAGCAGCTGCTTCACACAAGTAGCAATGTCCGGAGGAGTGCCATTTTGCATGAATATTGTGCGATCCACACACTGATGCTGCCAGAAGGACATGGTTAAGCAAAAATGCTTCATACTGCTTGACAAAAAATGGTGCAGTTAACAGGACCCACAGGTGTGATCTCGAAGAAGAATGGACTGATGACTAACACTGCCATTATTTCGCACCACACAGTGTCCTTTTTATAGACTGAAGACATACTGGCTTTAGGGTGAATGGATTCTCAGTTACTGATATCCTGCAATTTCGAGTATTTACAAAACCTTGCAAATAGAGATGGGCTTCTCCAGACCACAGAATATTCCCTGGCCATCCATTGTCTACTTCCATCCAGGCAAGAAATCATTCTGCAAACGATTCACGTGTTTCCAGGTCAGGAAGTAGCAACTTCTGCACACGAGCTATCTTGCACAGATAACAGCACAAGATGTTCCCTAGGACATTACCCACCTTGCTGATAGGCTTATCCAACATTCGTTCAATTCCCCATGCACTGCTGATTCCTGCATCACTGTTTGTCTTGTTTCACCTCACATAATCCCGAATTTTATGCTTTTTAATGTCCAGAACTTTCTGATGGCTGTTAATGCAGAGTCACCATTCTGATAGCAAAGCTTCACAAGCAGAATGCGATCCTTCTTTGTCAGCCATGATGAAACATTCAGGCAAAGCATTACGTGTTCTACATTTTTATTACAGCTTTGTTTGTGGTACACATGTCAAGTCTTAGGAATGTGCATACCTCCACAATAGCCATGTGAACCCTGACAATGCCATCTATCGGTTCATTTTTGAACTATTTCTTTTTTCTTCACCAAATAAAATTCCATTGCCTCATGATTGTTCTGGTAAAATGTCAAGTGATTCTAACCGGTAGTTTTAAAATTAGAGCATTTTGAAATCACAACTTTATAATTATAATCACTCTGTACATACACACGTACATGCATTCACACATTTCTGAATACGGTTTCAATGACAGAACAGTACCAAAAACAATTATGAAAACCTCTTTTGCCGTTTTATGACAACACGCTCATCAGTTGTCACCATCACAATTCTACGGTCTTGATCACTTCTCTGTTATGTTTCTGGGATAATATATTTTCAACATATGCACATATGCATTTCCAACAACAACCATTATTAAAAAGTGAAATATTATACAATTTAAATTGATTAAGAATATGGAAAATAAGTAGCAATCTGCTTTGCTGGCAATATGATCTTTTTGAAATAAAATGCTTTTAACTAGTTATTTATTTTTTATGACACCCATCAGATTAAAAAATTATTTATTTATTACGATGAGATCATTTTGACTTCATGTATCAAATTTTTATAAATTCATCAGAGCATTTTAAACATTATTGTATACTCATAAGTCTTTGTACTCAAAATACAATAAACCCTTTCGGAGTGATGCTTGCTTAAAATGATCTTTTCTGATAGTGACTAGGTTTTTGCGAGCCTGAATTAATACTGGTACTGAATTTCACCTCTCTAAGATGACCATCACTGTTGTCCAAGTGCAGATGCTTCAGAGAGGCTTATAATTTTTCATTACACCTACTCTCTTTCAGTTAAAACCACGGCAAGCCACGGAAGCCACCATTAATTAACTGCCCCGAAAAGACTCTTGGAAATATCCAAATGATGGCAGCATGACCCTTAGAAATATACCTATTTCTGTGGCAACTTCAGCAACAGGCTGCTCTACCTAGACATCCAATTGCTTGATTGCAATCATATACATTACAAAGAAGGAAACAAGACAAGTACACTGTCTTTAAACAGATAGGAAGTCTTGCTTGACGATGCCTGCTATGCTTATTTCTCATTATGCAGCTGCCAGGAAAATAAAATTGCAGGAGTCATTTGTTCCTAAGCAGTCCAGTCATCAAGTAGTATAGCGTGGTACTAGTATGGAAATAGATATGTGAAAAGACATTGTGTTGTTTATAACACTGATGCTGAACCCTTGGACTGAAAGCATTTATTAAAAGATCATCAAAATTTTCTGATAATGTACACATTAATATATCCTATTTTTTCACATCTAGTTAGTTAAAAATTTTCTGATAATTTTAATTGTGAAATGTAGCTAATATTCACAAATGTAAAATAAATGCCTCTTTAAATGTGTACATTTAATTACAATTTTTTTTTTATTTTCATACTGGCTTGGAGTCTCCAAAGCAACAATTTTTCAGTGAAGTGATGTTTAAAAAACATTGGCAAAATTGGCTTACAATTCAAACTGAGTAGAATGTCTACAAGCATAAACCACACATATAAAGATAATACAAAACAGAAGGTCATAATCAACTCATGTTGTAACCAAAGTAGTGCCTCTTCACACAGTATAATTACTTCTACTTCATAGTTAACTTACATTAATATGATCTTTATCAACATAAAAATCTCCATCCAAGAAGTATTGTTATCTTTATATCATATCCACTTTATTAGTCTATCTTTACAAGAGGGCAGATAGCTTTGAATTTTGGAAGGTTTAAAGGAGGGCCTTTGGATACATATACAAAAATAGAAGAAATTTGAGAAGTTTCAATAACTGATCACTCCTGTGAAGATGCCCACTTTCTGAATTCACCAGTTTAAGCTGAAAATTATGCAAATATACCAAAAGTTTCCCACTGACACTTTAATGTTACAGGAGAGAATAAATATGGGGAAGAAATATGAAAATAAATAAAATATGTGCATATACTGGAAAGGATACAAATCAATGCTTAAAACAGAAGGGATAAGTCTGTAGTTTCTGTATCTCTGATAAATAGCAAATTCTATTGCTGGCAATAGAAACACAAATAAAAATTGCATTATGCAACAATAAAATGGCAGATAAAGTGTATGTAATTTAAGTCACTTACTCTAAAACACCATTTTATTATTAATTTGTTTAATGTTTTTCTAATAAACTGAGATATGACAATTTAAGAAAAATTTTGTTTAAAGAATATTAATTTGCAAAATATAATTTTGTTTACATTTCAAACTGTATAGTTATCAATATCTGCTCACCCAGTGAAAAAAATAATAACCTAAAATATAAACTAATTATTTTGTTTGTAATTAATTGATAAATAAATTTTTTAAATTTCAATTGAGATAATTTTCTGGTATTTAAAATATTACTAAGTTTTTCAAAATCGTAATTAAACAAAGTGCAATATAAAGATATTTCATGACATTTTTTAAAATGTACAACTTTTAAAATATATTAAATAAATCAATGCAATATATTTTATGAGCAGAAAATACACACTCTTTTTAATTCAAATAGATTATTTTTCCAATCACAAAAAAAAAAAAAAAAAAAAAAAAAAAAGCACATCATATAGCCCCAGATTTATATTATTTATTTATGAAAGGGTGGCATTAAGTGTACCAATATGATCAGATATTTCTGTATTTAAATCTCTACACAAAGTCAAGAAACAGAAAAAATCATTATACACTAGGTTAATTTTGATATCCTGAATATTGCCCTCCGGATTCTTTACACCTCGGTCTTTTTATTTATTTTACTTCGTGGAACTATTTTATTAAACTTATTATTATAACTATTTTATTAAACTTATTATTATAACTATTTTATTAAACTTACACAGAATTAATAATCATTAATGTTTACTTGCATTATTAAAGATATATATGTTTAAATTTCTGAAGTTTCATTTTATACACTTAATTTTTACCGGCAAATAAACTTACATTAAAAGAATTTCGGAGCCCTGTAAATAAACTACTTAATACTCCAAAAAATGTATAAGTAAATGCTAAATATGAAACAAAATTAATTAGGATGTGTTATTCATTAATAGATAATAAATTCTGCTATGAAGAAAGCTTCAAAAATTTCACTGATGCATGCATTCGGATATTAATTTCCTACAATGAGCAATTAAGCAAACAGAAACTAAATACTCCCAATTTGAAGATATTCAACAAATGATTTATAAAGACTTACACACAACGAAAAAACTTAAATAATCCAGATCTTCTGCTTCAGCCGAAAAACTAACTGAAGTATGCCACGCTAATGGGAGATCAACAGGTGATTCGAGGAAATAGTACAGTTTGTTAACATATAACGAGAGCTAAATGTTCCAGTAACAAACCAGGAAAAAGCATGATCTGTTCCATATTTGTTAACTGTATCCGGTTAGTATAAAAAAATGCGTTGCTTTGGCAGAAAGACTTAGCGGATGCAAAACAAAACATCTGTCTACTTTGTCTGTCTGTCAGAGCAACGAATTGCAGAGGGATCTGTGCTGAATAAATACATACACTTCCTAATGATTATATTTTAACATTTTAATTAGTGAAAATGTAAAAAACAATACTCAAAGTCCACAGTCGCTGCCCAACTTTGAGTAGTTTACACGAAAAGTCAGTGTACAACTTTGGTCGTAAATCAAATATTAGTTCTTGAAACTTCCAGTAGACTTAAGCTTAGATGGTAATGTGGTCGAAAACTGGAGTTAGTTTAAGCAGTTGTTTACTGTAAACATTAAAGCGTCTGGTAGAGACAGAAAAGAATCCAAATTAAAGTTGAAATTATAATTAATTCAGTTGGGAAAGATGCTGTAGAACCTTTTAATGTCTCTGACCTCACAGACTCCTATAGAAAGAGCTACGATAAAACGTTAACTGCATTTGAAACGTATATATTACCTAAAAGAAATTTTGTAATGAAACGATTTCTATTCAGCAACTATATACAAGAAATAAGCGAAAGTTTTGATGCATTTTACACCGATTTTCAACCCAACTGGTAAAATTCTGTGAATTTGGAGATTAAGTAAACAGTTGTGTAACAGATAAAATTGTACTCTTATCGCAGACAAGAGACTGCAAGAGAGATTTTTAAGAGAAGAGGTAATCTTTTAGAAAGTACTGTAGAAATATACAAAGCGATTGAAAAAATCTTAACGTGCCGATGCAATGCGAAAACAAATCTTCCTCAAGGATATATAACATAGATTGACTATCGTTTCTCAGAATTCATTTGGAAGCATCTGTCACTGTCGGAAAAATAAACGTAGAATGACCAATTCATGGAAATAGTGCTACAAGTGCTCTAAGCTAAATCACTTTTCTTCATAGTACCATCAGAACTTAAATTGCACCGGATATAACTGGTGACCTGTTCTGGTACTTCTCAGTTTTTGAGATTAATCGTAATTCTAGACGGAGAGCACCGTAGGCCGTAAATAAGAGAGACTCCGACACTTATTATTTTATGAAACGGATACACAATTTCAGCATAAAATTCTTTTGATATTTTAATAACAAGTATGCCTTAAAAATCGATCGAGATTCTGAATGAATGCTGCTGCAACTCTCAGGGCTACAACGAGCAGGTTACAAATTTAATAATCACAGCAGGGATTATTAATATAAAGATTGTAAGAATGATATCTCACACAAGCGGAAAACGTTACATTACTCTATCAAGTGCATACATATAACTGAGTGAAAAGGGAATTTCCTCGCTTAGTTCGCCGTTAAAGAAAAAATAAGAATAATAAAAAATAGTTCAATCAAATGGCGGCGCTCCTTCTGTCGACTTCGCCCAGCCGTTACGTAATCGTCTGTCTTCAGCAGCCGTCTCCAACAATTGCCTTTCTTTCCAAGAGAAACAAACATTGGGATACAAGTTGAGACTTATAAGCTTCACCCACTTGGCAAAATCTTATTCTCTACGAGTAGCAATAAATTTATGAGACTTGTTGGAGAACGGTTTTTTTTTTTTTTTTTTTTCATTTCCGGAGGTAGTTTCGGTACCCATAAGCGGAACCTTTCTTTATATTCCTAAATGAGCTTCATATTATAGTAAACTTAACATAGCGAATACTGAAAGAAAAACGACTCAAAAATCTCTAGCATTAATAACTTTTCACGGAAAACAGCACTTGCAAAGCTTCCTGATATAAGGTATTCCCCCCCCGCCTTCCTAGCGTTCCTTCGTGGTGTGGGGGCCTGCGAGCTGGGCGCGTATTCCAGAGATCCGTGGTTCGATTCCTGACGAAGGCGTTGCTCATTTTTCAATTCTCCTGCTTCCAAAAATATACCTAAGGTCTACAAATGTAACCAAATATTAGGAATGAAAATGGTCACTTTCATAACACTTTATTTCGTTCCCAGCTTATAGATCAACTCTTAATAATTTTGAAATACTGCAATATGGCTCAATAAATTACAATATTGTTGCAAACAAGTAACTGTATATTTTATTATTGTAAATAATAGCAATAAATAATAGCAAGTAAAAATTACTATTTTTAGAAGACTGTGTGAAACTTAATCTCATTACATTTTTTGATAAGACAGGTATAGTCACGTCTGAACAAAAGCAGTTTCTACAAAATAATAGTGTTACAAAATGTCCAGCTGCGGTAAGATAGCTTCCCCGGAAGGCAGGTTTGGGTTGCCATAAAGTGGCAAGAAGAGGCAGAGTTGCCAGATTTAGAGCGAAATCGTCCGTTGAGACATTTGGCGACACAATTGGCGATATGCCATAGACGGATGGAGAACCTTCTGGAACAAATTCTTACCAATTTGGCCCAGAGAGTTCTCGAACGCAAGCCAAAAGCTATATAAACCCTGACTGTACGCGGAGTAGTGTGTGTCTCGTCAGAGTCTTTTAGACTGCTATCACATATCCGTTTGTTTCGAAAGAACAACTGTTTGGAACAATTTTTCTGCTTTGTCACAGCAACCAATTACTACAGATCTCTTTGGACTTAAGACACAGGGAAAACTGATTCTCCATTACACACAAGCTAATAGCATTCACACAAGTTATAGCCTGATAGCTTGAAGGTTATCTCGCTGATTGTTTCAGCGTGCTTGTCGTAGTTTTCTACGACTGTTAACATGTTTTGGGAACTGTCCTGAGTATTACTGGCTAATAAATTGTGTTTTGATACTTCCTCAAGTGTCGTCGTCAATCACTCCAAATCCAGAAACCCGTACAGAAACGCAACAACTGGTGTCAGGAGTAGGTTTTGCGAGTGAATGCCAGTGACCCGCCTGCAGGAAAAAGCCATGGCGGAGGAAATGAAGTTCACGGACTTCTTAGCAGCTGTAAGAGCCGGTCTAGAAAAGTTGAAAGCTGGTTATGAAGAGATGACGTCTGAAATAAAAGCCGGATATGACGAGATAAAAACTGGATATGAAGGGATTACGGCTGAGATGAAAGCTGGACTGGAAGAGATGAAAACCGGACAAGAATAATTAAAGTCGGATGGTATAGGTGGAAATAGTGAATGTGCGTGAAATGTGTTGTGTAACTGTAACAGTTAGTGCCTCTACGACTGAAAGCTGCGGTAATTTATGAGGTAGAGCAGAATGGAGCATTTTTCTAAAAGTCCTCCCCGGGCTTTTTCACCAACAGCAGGCCATTGAACGATCCAGTCAATAAGCAAAATCTCGAGCATAAAAATAATTGTGCAGGCCCAGCATATGTTTCTGAAAGAGAAGAATCTCTGGACTATACTCGTGCATGAATTCTTGGCATTTTTGGAACAGACAGTTTGTGTTCCATGTGACAATTAAGAGAGAGTTATTACAGTTATTCATTACTATTATCATTAAGTTTAGAGACAATTTAAAAGAATGTATATATTTTGTTAGTATTAGTAACACATGCCCTGAGTTTAATCATAAGTTTCTGAAAAGCTTTATTCATTGCAATTAATTTATTTTTACGAAAGATTTGGTAAATTTCAGACATAAAGTTAAAAAAATTCTGGAAAATCAGAGAGTTATCCTTGATTATTTGTTTTACCATTGGGTTTATTAACATCACTTTTATGAGTTGTATTAATTAAATTATCACTTACAGTCTCTGCAGTAATATCTGGTTCAGGACTGCCATAAATTTGGTTGTTTTCGGAATTTTGGTTTGCTATTTTTTTCTTTTTTAACATTTACGCAAACATAATTCCGGGCTATATAATAATGTATCGGCTATAACGTATAAGTATCAGGCTATAACGGTGAAGACAGCTTCACGGCAAAGCACTATAATTCACCTTCCGACTCGGTTATATATAGCTTCTGACCTGCCATCTGAAACATTCTCTAGAAAACCGGTAAGAATTCTTTCTAGAATGTTCTTGCTCCGTCTTTGGCATACCGCCAATTTTGTCGCGAATGGTTTTCGCGTTAAGTCTGGTAACCCTGTATTTACTTGCCACTTTCTGGAAACCCTAAATCCGCTTTGCAGGGAAGCTATCTTACTGCAGCTGGGCATTTCTCAACAGCATAAAGCCAAAGGAAAATTATCTTGTACTGAAAATTTAAAAAATAAAACAAAACATATTATTACGTGCGTGCGGGTTCGTAGTAGATTAAATGCACACAGAAACGATGATAGCTTGACGAAATTCTTTTCATTTTTGGACAGTTCTTTTCAGAATGACAGAGCACAATCAGTAGTTACGATTTCAAATTACTAAGAACGTTAAACACAAGACAATATAAAAAAAAGCTTAAAATGCGGAGCTCCCACTGTTCACGCTCTCAGCACATTCAGCCAAACGCTGAACTAAAACTGAGACCTGATGTTTTCTCAGATATTATGTAGTTTTAACCCGGCCGCCGAGATATTTCGGGTACCTTCCATTTCTCGAAATTGTGGAATGCATATACAGTTACAATTACATATAGGACCGGTTTACAGTTACAAATAAATATAGGAGTTTGACCAATTACAACTACACAGGGGTCGGACAAAAATGTGGCCAAGTTTGGCTATTTATTGGCGATAAGTTTGACAACTTATTTGGAAAGTTTGGCAAAATTTTCTGATGTTTGAAGATTTAGTAGCGCCACATTTGGCGATATCTATATATGTCGCCAAAACCGTCGCCAACTTGGTGATATCTTACCATTTACCTTGATGTTAAATGAATTTGCCTCTGTAATCTTATTTTTCTGGCAAAGCTTCCCTTTCTTGAGGCTTTTATGTTACATTATACAAGAGATATTGCAATTTTACATACAATTTCACTAAAATTATCTACATACATGCAAAATTAGTACCAATATTTTTGCCGTGTTTGTTTACTTTAAACATAATAATTATAAATCACAAAGAAAAGTTTCAGTGTTTTTTACATATACGCTGATCTTTAATCTTTAACAGTAACCTCAATTGAACAATACTATCTAATACAGCATGCTAAAAAATGTATGGAAAATAATTCAGTGTCCACAAAGCTAAATTTTAAAGCTTCTAGTTGAAAATTCACTTTATTCTTTCCCTTCGCAGCAATTATATAAAATTTAAAAGTAAATTACTTGTTAAGTAAAATTTAATTCCTGCAAGTTTGAGGATGAAATTATTTTTATTACTTATTTTGCTTACAATTTAGCTTCAAATCATTTACCAGAAATCACAAATTTACCAAAAACGTTTTACCATTTTTAAAAGGGGGAAACGTTTTTGTCAGATTCCTTCTTCTGAAGGTGCAACAGCCTTGTAGCATCTGGGAGAAATAAAGATATATCTCGTGTGTTTGAAAGTACTGTAATTAGATGGAAACAAGAAGGGGCATCTGTCTCCAGGGTAGCATCCAAGGAGCTCCAAACTGTTACGAAATTTTAGAATTTTAAGAATGTTTTCCATTCTTGGCAAACGGGGGACAAGGCGAAAAATCTTCAGTTGTACTTGGACGCTGAAAAGCCTACCTCCGATTCTAGAATTTGGTTTAGCAGGCGAAAAAAAAAAAAAAAGTTATCCATGCGGGTAATCGATTACTTTCTTTTTCTTCCTACAGTTCGACAGCACAGTAGTGAATATTCTGTAATAATGGACAAAAGCCTTATCACCGCGAGGTAACTGATGGAAGGTTTCTCGCCCCCCAAAAAAGTACTATTTGTTGATAATTTTTCACATAGAGTCACCCCCAAAGAGTGTTCAATGCGGTAAATTTACCTCAAGGTGTGCTTCTAGTGAAACTGTAGAGACATTAGGTATTTTGTGGAAGAAAGAGAGATTGAAAAATTTGCAACACCTTCGCCGGGAATCGAACCGCGAACCTCTCAATCACGCGCTGAGCGTGCAGACCACTACACCACGAAGGCTCTCTAGGAAGGCGGGAGAAATACCTTATAAAACGTATACTACGTAAGATTTTGATTTGCGATCATATGAATGGCGCAAACCAATAAGCAGAAACTATATTTAACAGCAAAAAAGTTTAAAAATATTAAAAAAATATATAAAATAAATATAAAGAAATGTAGAAACAGAAATATTTTTACATCAAAAACCCGAAACATGTGAAGCAACCTGCATGTTTTTCAACAAAATAATACCTCTGAACCCTTCTTCAACTGCTGTTGAAGTGATTTGAGTCTCATAATGGAAAAATTTGTGAGAAATGATGTCTGAAATAGAATATACTCAAAATAAGCAATGCAAATTTATAAAAGATCTAGAAACTGCTATTTTAGATTGTTGATAAAAATTACCGTTCTTTTTTTTTGCAAAATTTTACCCATTGTATGCCTAATATAGAGAGTCTGACGCCACTCAAAATATATAGAGAGAGATTTTTGAATTTAAAAATTGCAAATTGAAAACTTATTACTTTCAAAAAGAAGCAAAATGTGGCATTAAAAGTATCTTTTACTAAATATAAAAAAGCTGCAAACGTTCCTAAAAATTAAAAATTATCCTTTAGATGTATTATAATTTAGGTGTGTTTTAGTATATATCATTTAGATATATTACTGAATAAAGATGCCTCCCAGACGGTATAGTGGTTTGGGGAGCCTACAGCAATGTGATGTTGAAGGGCTATGGTTCGAATCTCCGAGAACGCATGGAGGCTTGTAATATTATAGTGTCTCTGTGGCATGGGGGCACTTTAGATATCCGAACCCCACTTCCCTCGAGGTGTTGTCCCTCAAAATTGGGATGGAAGGTGGAAGTCCAACCTCCTTGTGGCTCTGGCAACCCTTCTTCCACGAAATTACATGGACAAGATAACAACAACAGCAACTAAACAAAGATTTAAATTATTTAAAAAAAGTGCTTTATGGACTTTAAGTGACTTTTTATCAATAAAACAATATTTAAGTTGGAAAGAAAAATTAAACACCTTATGTTAAATGACAACATTCAGAATGTCAAGGGGAAGATAAGACAAAGGTGTTATTTCGCGCAATGGCAACACTTGTCATGGCGCTCGGATGACAAATGCTGCTACTGAATTTTATCCGTTCTTCGTCCGATAATTTGTCACGATTGATTAACTTGTTTTCGAATTTTATTTTACCAGGATTTGATTTTCCCAGGTTTACTGAAAACAATATATTTTCTTCGAGGTTAAAAAAAAAAGCCGAACTTAGCATTGTCGAAATAAATATACATCAGTAAAGTTATCAATAAATAAATAATAGAAAATTACTTTAGAAAAGAGTTTGAATATATATATATATATTGAGTGTTTGTAATATTTTTTTTTTTTTTTTTAATTTTGTTTGTGCATTAGCGATTACATTCATATACTAAACTTTGTTTTCGATTCACATAAAATAAAACTTTGTGAAAAAAGTTTGAAAGTCACCTTTCTTTTTTCCTCTTCTATTTGACATTATTATTATTATTATTATTTAAACAGAAAACAGTGAAAATATGCTTTTCCCTGTTTTTAATTTCATTTATTTTTCGCTATTTCATCTTGACCTTGCTGTTTCAGATGATCGTGAAATTCATGTAGTTTCTACGTCATGCGGTTTACACGTGTATTGTCCAATCAGCCGCATAAGTGAGGTATTTTTTTTCAGACAGTACTATTTCATTTGCAGCTAGCATTAGACAATTTTTTATACGTCTGCAGAAATGTAATAAATGCTTACGAAAGAATTACAGGAACTGTAGGTATTGTATGAACCGACAGCTATAGAAGAGGGAAGACGTATCTAATGCTGTTTTTCATGCCTTGCGTTTGAAACCGATTAGAAAGCGGCTAGAATTCTCATCTCCCTCCAATTTTTTCTTCACATCATAAGTTTGAAAACACCAGATTTTTTTCGATGCAGAATTTTTCTTAAAGTCATTCCATGTATTTCGTATCACATTTTTAGCATTCATTTCCGTTCGTAGAACCAACGAAGTAGGTAAGACTTAAAATTTATTTCAAATTTATTACATTTTTTTTAAGCATGATGTAAAAGCAGCCATGTAGGAATTTTTGAAAGACATGAGAGACATATGTAATAAAGATTACCTGTGAGTTGAAAGTAAACATATAAAATGAGGAAGTATGTAAAATTTATCTTTAAAATGGTATTGCTGGGAATGTAGTATGAAAAACATTTGTCTTTAAAGCGGTAAATATTTTTTTGTTCTGTCTTTACAGTAACTGATGCATTGCATAAAAACACAGACATAAATATCCTTATCATTTGATCTCGCAATACTTTAAGAATATTGTTAAGAATAATTTTCTGTATTTATTATTTCATTGCAAATTATAATGTTTCGTTTTTAGATATTGGCAACTAGTTTTCAGATATATTTAAAAAAAATCTTAGTAAGTTAAAATTAATTAAACTGTTCTATATACGTATCTTATTTTTACTACTGTAAGTTCAGCAAATAAATAAATTTAAAGTATTTGATTACATTAACTTTGTATATTGATATTCAAAAAATATTCTTACGCTGGTTAGAATTTAATAATAATCGTTTTCCTATTTTTATTGCAAATGCTAAAATTTTGTGAATAATTTTTACATTGGCCAGTGTTTAAGTTTCCTAAATTTAACTGTTAATATTTTATTTTTTCCGAGTTTTCTGTTACCTGATGTAATATGAATTCATATTTCCATATATTATTGGAATTTTGTTACGTAATACATTAAATAAAAAATACAGTTTTATTTGTCAATAAACTAACATTATATAATACAAATCAAATTCGTTGTATTGATGTTTCTATTTAGAATTATTGATACAGTGAAATGTTTCTTACATATATTTTTTAGCTTAAAAGTAACTAAAATTAAATTAAACGTATTTTCATGTCTTCTGAATGATGAGGAAAACTCTACTACCTATTAGTAACAGTACGCAACTAATATAAAAATAAATTTCGCATTCTAAAAAATTTTCAAAAAATAAAAATCTGAAAGCCTTCAGATTTTATATTACGCCCAAAGCAGCGTTTTTTAACGTTTTGTGTGTTACCTTCATTTATTAAATATTATGTTCTTCACACTGAAGCGGATAACAGTCGGAAAACATAGATTAATCATTTTACTTTTTTTTTTTAAATTAAAAAAAATATATATATAAGCTTTACATTATGTTGCCACAAATTATCAGGATATTTATAATTCATGCGGCCTGGAAAGTGTTGCCACTTCACAAATTACATAAAAGCTTTCATTTATTATCCAGATGGTATAACATATTGCAGCTCATAAAGGTGAGGTCATAGATATTCTAGAATACTGTTGCGTGCTAAAGGGTTCGTAATGGATTGAATGTACGCAGAACCAATGAGAATTTGATAAAATTAATTTTCACAAAGAACCATGTTACAGTTCTAGAACTTTCCACAAAAGTATTCGTACAGCTGTGCTTAGTGTGGCAGAGCACAATCAGTAGTTACCACTTTAAAACTACTACGAACGTTAAACAAAACGCAATGCAAAACACAATGTAAAGAGCTAAGCTCGCTCGGAAATTTAACTCAACATTTCGAAGTTAACTGTGATTTAAAAACTGATAACTGATGCTCTCTCCGGTTTTACTTAGTTTCCCGCGAAATTTTCAGTATTTTCTGTTCCTCGAAATTACTGGAAGACACATACAGTTACAGTACATATAACAGGCGGATACAGTTACAGTTAAATATAGAGATTACTTATTATTCAATTACGGTTCAGTTACAGTCATGCAGGGACTGGAACAAAATATCATCAAATGGTTAACAACAAGACTTGGGCCTTCCCTGCTCGTGAACTTAATCACACTACAGGTCCATTCCCCCTTTGGGCACTTTGTGGAGGTTCAACCTCCACTATTACCCTTCCAGGGAAGCAGCGGCACCACCTGGATAAGACACCAATCAGCACTGGTCGTCAATTGCTCCTGCCAGTCGCATGGGCGAGCCCGTCGCAGAGGGCTGTTACCCAGCAAACCGGAGGAAATTTCCACCGGCTAACGAATCCAACCGCTCAGGGCATGCCAGACCCCGAGGCCGGCCAATGAGTCACCTTTCCCGGGGCCTTCAGAACCACCAAGTTCATAAATTTTATACCCCCTGTGGCCGAGACTGCCTATGTACAGATCCTAGTCAGTAGCTTCACAGAATTCTCTACGTCGACACCCAGGGGGGTTAAATGGTGAACAGGTTTGGGGACTTTCGGCAATTTCCTCGCAAATTTGGCGACAACGTCATAAAGCCATATTTCTAATACAGCACTGTAGCGTTTTTTTCTGACACCAGTTGCTACGTTAATTTGTTCCTTCACGTTCGTTCGGGGTTCGTAGATTTGGAGTGAATAACGACGACACTTGATAAAGTATCGAAACACACTTTATTTAACCAATATTAATCAGGACAGCTCCAAAGTCACTTTTTACAGTCGTCGAAGATCTACTATACACACGCTGACACAATCAGCGACACAGGCAGGCAATAACGGTGGAGACAGTTTCACTGCAAAGCACCAGGCTGCAGCTCCCGACTCTGCTCGGCCGTTCTCCGAACTCCACGTACTCTCGAGACTCTCTACGCCACAACTCGCGATGCACTTGACGACACACAGAGCACAGCTTCCGACTCTTCGGTTCAGTCCTTCCCGGAGCTCAACACGCTCTCTCGACGATGCACTAACCGCGACACGCTAAGAGACTCTTTCGGTGCACTCGACAACACACTCAGCACTAGCTGCCCGGCTGTCAACTCGATCGACTCCGAACGGACTAACTCGAGACACACTATCTCGCACTCTAGACGAGGCACTCTCACTGCGGACCAGCGGGGTTTATATAGCTTCCTGCTTGTGTTAAGCAAGCTTGATCACTAAACTTTACTACTTGATTGAGTATGGCTGTAAGGTTTAAAATGCTGGCTAAGATGTTCCAAGAGATCTGAGTAAATCGTAAATGATTTAGGTTATAGCTGACACTCAGCAGCCAAGAACACGTGAATTGTTCTGACTCCAAAGATACTAAATTTCTTCTACAATGAACTAGTATTTTATCCGAATAAGTAAATGGTTTTATTGGTCTGGATTCATAGTAATTCCCTCCCCTTCCAAGTGCGTCTCCCTTTCTCCTAACGCGTGTATATGAGTTACATAAAAACAAATAAATTGAATTAATTTTCTTTAAAAGTTACTTAAGAAAACCAATTAAAAAGTGAAAATATTTTTTGAAGAAAGATCATATAGCATTCTCGAAGTTAATTTTTCTTTTTTATTTTGTCTTCCTTTTTTTTTTTTATTTACTTAAAATTTAGCTGCAATAAAACACTTATTTTGAAAATTTATTTAAGGTATGAATATTAGTTTATTACATAATTTTAATTAAAAAAACTTTCTAAAAAAATTCCCATCCCCTTGGCCACGATACTTTCGTAATTGCACTGATTCTTTGAAAGGCGGTGTCTTTTATCAATATCACTTCTAAATTAATGACTTTCTTAAATCAGATTTATTATATATTCGTTAGTGTTCCTAATTTACATCGTGTCTTTCTGTCTGAGTTGCATCCGGAATAAATTCTGTTATTAGTTCATCCGAAAAATTATGAATCCCCCCCTATTTAGAAAGGAAGTATATATCTTCTTGACACGTTTTTGTTATCCAGACGGAAGTTCCAGCATAATTCCCGTTAGAGTCTTTGTAAATTGATTATCTATAGTCCTAGTGTCGTATTTATATAGATATATACATATGTACGTGTTTGATAAGAAGCATGTGTGTGTGGGGGGGAACTGACACTTGTTTCGCTATCACTTAAGCATGAGAACAATACCTTCAAATAAAACTTGGATCTTTTTCAAGTTATTTTTACTCAGAAACAACTTTGCAAAAATTAAAGCAAATCAAAGCCTTAAACGAGCAGGAAGGAGAAAGGAGTCTGGGAAGTAATGTACTGAAAATTATTATATAAAGCATGCATATGTAATTTAATGAGCTATAATTGAGTATGAAATTTGTGGAAATATTAATATTTGATTATATATAAGTACTAAGAGATAAATAACATACTGCTCGTGCAAATGCAATTTTTTAGGTGTAAGAAACATTTCTAACTGAGTTTCCATTTTGTGTAAATTTGTATTACATTGCGCTACCACGGCATTTATCCACACGCTCTGGAAAATTGTCACTTCTCACAGTTATTGCCATTCAATGCGGATTTTATTGTCCAAGCAGCCTGGTAGAACAAATTTCTGATAAGTTACGACAAAAGAATGCCATCATTGTATGGAATATTGAGATTTAATTTATTTTTCAAATTAAAACTGCATGTTGCTTAACAAAATCATCAGTCTTAATGTGAGTAGTAATTTAATACCTTGTTTATGTATTTAAAAATCTCTAATTAGTGCAATTTATAGTACATCAAATTTATATATCAAGCTGATAGTTTTACTATCAGCTTGATGTATTATTATTACATAAATTTGATGTACTATAAAATTAGAGTTAGAGAAATTAATAAAAGATGTTTCTTACTCCATATATTATATATCTCAGTAGAGTAATCGTTTACTGGTCGCCTAATAACGACGTATATTTCATATAGTTGTGTTATTTCTTTTCACTAACAGTTGCTAGTTGATTGAATTTCAGTCCTTCCTTTAGGCCATGTTTTGTCTGTTTTTTTACCTCGTCTCTCTCAATCCATATATATATACATAATTTATTTGGCAAGCGATGTAGGTTAAATTGAAAAGAAGAATCGTTAACGGCATGAATTGCAATAAAGACGTTTTACTGTTGCTATGGCGGCCAACTTGCCTTGTGCATGAAGCTGCTGGTAGGCTAAGAGAAATTCGTCGGATATTAGGCTGGATAAGTTACTGTCATTTTAATTTGGAGTTAAGCTGTTTTTGGCCATTTACATAATAATCATGCCGGGTAGGTTGTCGAGT